TCCCCCCCTCGCTTTTCAGTGAACAGGCGGGGGGGGGGGGGGGTGTTCTTGAACAAGCTGCTGATGCAGTAGAGGTTGAGAACTAGGCTGTCTAGGTTACACGGCAGGCTAAACAGAATTACAAATCCTTTGGCAATTAAACAGATTCTATATATTTATTTCACATATAAGCATACAATGCTGACCAAAAAACACAGTGACTGCTAAAGTCAGGAAGGCACTCACATTTTCTTAAATCTTAGTTTTATATAACCACTGGTGTTTAACTATACGTTTGGGTAGGACTGCAGACTCTTGTCATGTGATTATGTTCACCAGGGTTACAATGAGGACATTACTGAACCCATGGAAGGCTCATAATACCTCCAAGTCAGGATTGTATAGAGGATGAGGATACCCATAGCTATAGGGATTCAGATTCTAGCATACAAGTGCAAACCATGAATAAAGTAGTAAAAACAATATGCATGCGTTTGGTCATTTTCATGTTTCTCTGAAGTATACGCTCATTTAATGGATAAGAAAAAAAATACCACTCCCTTCTGTCCTGCTCTTCTAAATCGGGGACAGAACAACACAACTACTCAGATGCAGACAGAACATACGTAACTGTGCCCTGTGGTCATGTAGAGAAAACTTAGTTTGGAGATGGCTAAGCTTGAAGCAAATGCAATAAGCAAGCCCACCAGAGGCTGAGAAAGTGGGGATGTCTGCGCCTAGCCAGCTACATTGCCTTTTTTTTCTTCTTAAGGATCAGGGGAGAGTTTTTGTTTTTTTAATAGCTACCCAAGCTTAGCCAAGCATTACAACAAGATATGGTGATGTACAAAGTACAGTAACCGATCAGCTTTGTTTTGACTGGTGTTCTGTGGTCAGACTGGTGAAAGGAAGACTCTGATTGAAGTTGGTTATTGCACTTTATACTTTTCCCTATCTAAGAGGGTGCATTTTATATAATCATATATATATATTTTTTGCACAGCGCAACTGACATCCAGTCATCCTGTCGAGCTTAACATATCTGTGTAGTATGTAGGTCTAACATACAAATACCAATAAGCATTACGATGAGATAGAAAACTTAGAGACATTAAACTCAGGAAAATTACCCTAACAAAAATGTAACTTGTTTGTGTCAGGGGATGATCCAAAGTCTAGTCTCGGGAGGGGCGCTGCCAGAAAATAAGGTCCAAACTGTAGAAGAACTACAAATCCCAGCAATACATTATACAGCAATGCAGAATGGCACTGGCTGTAGAGGACTACAAATCCAGCAATACATTATACAGAAATCCAGAATGGCACCGGCTATAGAGGGCTACAAATCCCAGCAATACAGTATACCATCCTCTAGAGAGGACTACAAATCCCAGCGATACATTATACAGCAATGCCAAATGGCAACCGGCTATAGAGGACTATAAATCCCAGCAATACATTATACAGCAATGCTGAATAATATGAAGGAACATACTCATGTGCTGCTCCGGGGTGCTGACCTGATGTCTCCAGCAGAGGATCTCAGGAAGGCTGTGTGGGTCTCTTGGACGGGTGCGGACAGCTGGGTTCCCCAGGAAGGAGGAGATGTCCGACCAGTGCTGTAAACAGGTGCCACGGTTCGCAAGAAGCCTGCTGAGATCCCCAGCAAGTGTCAGTATCGGCACTCAGTATCAGGGCATTAATCGGTATTGGTGCATCCCTACTGTATAATGTAAGGTATTGCTGGGATTTGTAGCCCTGTATAGCTGGTGGTATTTTGCATTAATATATAATCATTATATACACTGTCTATAGACGTGAGGATGCTGAGGAAGATTCCAATGCTGCTGTGGAGGAGGAGATAGGCTGGAAGGTGTGCTGTGACAGCTGGCCAGCTTGGAGCTTCTGGTGAGTAGATCTTTGTTATTTTTCTCCCTAGACACGAGGGCCCATTTCTTCCTAGGGATACCCCTGGACCTAACCCTTGAAGTGCAGGGGTAGCCCCACTGCAAGGGGTAACTAAAGTTTGCCTGAAGTTTCTCTTTAATGTGGGATTGTAGTACATCACTTGGAAAGGTGGCTACATTACAACACACACAGGGGACCATGGGGAACAAAAAGTAGCCACCCTCCAGAATGAAGGACAGTGTCAGAACCAATTCAGAGATGATTTGAGGATCTACAGCCGAGTGATACACAAATAAGGTACATTTCTGTTACTAGCTAAGGTAAAAATCAGTACATTAAATAAAAAAATGAAATAAACATCAAATCCTATATATTGGTTATTGGACAACCCCTAAGGCCTCATCCACACACAATGCAAGCAAAATTGTATATTGCGTATATACGAGCGTATATCCCAGAATGCATCACTCGTAATGGAATTTTTAATGTGCTGTACGCATGTATTCGCGTATATACGCAAAAATATGCAGAAATACGCTGCCCGGGCGCAGCTCTGTTCCATTCTGCTTTTGCGCATATATACGCTACACAAATATACGGCTCCATACGCAGCTATGTGTATGGAGCCATTTATTTGCATATGGTACAATACGCGTGCGTATGCGCGGCAGTGTGAACGAGGCCTAAAACTCTCCATCTTTGAATAATGAATTTTGGTGATTTGAGAAAATCTGGTTTGGTAAAGCATAATAAATTCATTGATATGTATTTTTTTTTTTTTTGTATAATGAGTGATGTACTTTTATTTTTTTGTATAGTGTGTGATGGTGTTTTATAACTGTTAATAAATATTTTACCTGTGAGCTACTTCTATGTAATAAATCATCATCAGACAGTGACCATGTGAAAGAAGTGCAGTTAAAAGTTGTTGAGAAAATACTGTCATACTTTTGTTTGGCAATCTGGACGGTGGAAGGAAACTTTAAGTCCTGATCCCAGGGTAATCTCCCAGATAACCAATGCAGCATACAGAAAGAAAGAATTTCCAGATCTCCTCGTCTGGACGGGGCTAAAAGGAAAGAAAAAAAAAATAGCATTAAAAGAAAAATGATGAAGTATCAGGCTACTTTTTTATATATTTTTTTTACAAAGAATGCATTGACTATTAGTGATGAAATATGAAAAAGTAAAACGGGCAAAGTGTTTTGTTTGTTCAGCTGTATTAAAAGTAAAAACGCCCAGTCCTTTTGGCTTTACACCACAGACAGCCAAGTGACTTGTTGCTGGAGAAAGGGAGGGTCAGTTTTCTTACCTCCTCCAACTTCATCCTTTCTCAGTCTAGCCTGTCACATGAACTTGATCCCCATGGCCTCTGACATGATCCAGACAGCCCATAACCCAGCACCAACACTTTCTCAAAGAGCCAGGCAGTAAAAACAAAGAAAGAAATGTCTGCGGCTAAATTGCTAACACATGTTCCAGGAAGTCCATGGGGTCTACACTGGTCATACAGAGACCATTTGAGTGCAGACTAAACATTGATGGCCTTTCCTGTTCCATGATGTTCGGAGACTGGAGACGGAAAGATAAGACAAAACTGCCATCTAGTGTGAGTCATTGTACTCTCAGCCTTCACACTGCAGCGTATTGTACCTAGACAATGCAGATACCTTTATGGCAGAATTTATGTGGCCTCAGCCAACGTAAATATTTCACGGTTAAGCGAATTATAAGAAAGATAATAAAATTTTTGGAATGTACAACAAAATACTCTACTCGCCTGTAATTTTATCACAAATATAAACCGGTAAAGAACACTATAATTCACTGTGAATAAGTTGCACACAAAGAAATCCTGGGCAGAGGGGAAAAAAAACTCACTGGTGTCGGGAATGGGTTAAACTCACAGAAATATTTATAAGTATAAGAAAAAAAATCACAATGTGCAGATCTTCATTATTCAATGTTTAGGAAGTTTGGGTTTACGTGCCAGATAAAACCCGCTGATATATACACCTAGGAAAGTTAGTCGTTAAATATTTTCAGCCATAATTTAAAATTTGTTTTATTGTGTTATGAATATTTGGCGTGTTGCTTCTCAGGGAAAAAGGCGGCTAGCGATGTTTCAATCACTAAAGCAAGATTGTAGATGTATATTTTATCTGCTTGTGCAATTGAAGAGAAAGATGTAATCTCTTCCCCTGCTGCATGCGGTTGTTAAACCTGCAACATGTTTTATGAGCTTTCGTTAAGTGAATTCGAGAAAGTCACTCAGCAAACTTATCTTTTAATTTAAAAAGTCAACTATTAAAAGCTGCAGTGCCAACACATCATAACTGTTTTGTGTTATTCTGCATACGTTATCATGGAATCAGAGGACGAGATTAGCCTTACACACGCACACACACACGCACACACACACACACACACACACACACACTCCATCTAAACTGCTATTAGGGTATGCGATTATTAAAGGCCCTTCAACCTAACAGAATGTTGTTCTGTCCCTTGGGTGCCGTTTATTTTCTGCACTGGCTTCAGCAGAGTCCTAATGCAAGACTTGGCTCTCGTATTAAAATAAAAACACAATCTCCACCTCTTGCTGTTCTATAGCGATTTTATCAGCCATAAATCTCCCATTAACTGTGGAATGATTCCATTCATACAAACGTGTTCACAAGTTTTTTTTTTTTTTCCATCATAGCAATACAATATTGCAGCCTTAGAAAACCAGACCATTTGCCTGCTGAAATGCTGTAATAATGTGAGTTTATGTGACTTTACATGTAGAAGTATTTATAATAAATATGAGCATGTGTGTATAACAAATAAAATAATTTGTGTATATATATGTATACACACACACACACACACACACACACACACACACATCAATTTGTCGTGCTTTTAGCACTATGTGGGTCTCCATTCCCCTCACTTCCTGTTTTGCTGAAAACAGTTTTACAAGTCAGGATTTGAGGGAAACCATCAAACAGCAGCGCAGAAAAACTATTTCTAGTAGAGTAGGGAAAGGCTACATCTTCTTGTTTTGTTTGTTTTGTTATTTTTTGTTTATTTCGGCTGCATTCTTGTTGCAGATTTTCCCCTTAGTTCATGTCTGGTGAAACTGCTGTCACCTACACTGTAAGAATGGGGAAATCTCTCTTGTAGGTCCTCAGGTGGCGGTATAAACCTGACAGCGGTTCAATAGAGTCAGTTTACACTAATACCAAGCCTTGCATAGTTTTGAACAAAAAGTCCAGCAGGCTGCATTTGGCTATCTGGCCTGTGGCTTGCCTTTTAGGTCAATGCAGTGCATATAAAACATGTTCACACAATCTGTTTGGAAGGGTTGGTGCACTGTGACCCCCTCATTGTTCTCTGCATTGCTTTAACGGACTGAGTCTCATAATGTGAACTCATAGGATAGATTTTATTTGCACATTTATAATATAGACACTAAAATATTACTTGAGCTTCAACCTAAAACTGAACTGATAAGAGTGCAATCCGTAATAAAATAATAAACTGCACTGTACAGTACCATCAGTAAGTAAAATAGAGAAAGGCTCTTCACATATAAAGAGTATTGATGTGCAATAAAGCAGACGTGAATCTCCTGCAGAAATACTGTACAGTGTATCCACTTGGGGATATTAACTGACAGTGTTATAAATCAGCATCAATTTATAAGGCACAATAATTCTGCAATATGGCAAAAGTACATGCAAAACAACTATATCAAAACTATAATCAATACCAAGCCTACTTTATATTTTCGTTAATTATACATTTAAAAAAAATCTTAAAATGGGCTTTAAAGTACACTTTTCTTTCCCTCAGCAACATGATGTATCAAGTCAGTCTTTGAACATCATCTTAATATACATATCTTAAGTTTTTGCCAACAAAGCCATGGATCACACTCTCCCATAACTCCATATAGGTCATTAATGCCACCAATCACAATGAAGAACCACTAGTGACTTTTGCAGGAGGAGGGAGGAGTGGGCTAGCACTTCTCATGTTCGGCAAGATTAGCATATTAGAGCACCCGCATTCAGGGGCCTTGGAGGCTCTGGGGGAGATGCTGCTCAAAAGGTGGGTGCCTGCGTTTAACAATGTTTAGGAAAAGAGTTTACTATAGATAATTTCCAGGCACACTCTACTGTTAAGGTGCAGCTACTATGTAAACCACATACATTTTTAAACATAAAAAACTGAACAATTCCTTTTTGCACTTAAATTAGAACACTTTAAACATGTTAACTCGAAAACTAGATACTATAGGCACAATTCCAATATTGAAAAAGTGAAGATGAAGGGTTTCATCATGAAAGTGATCCATTTTCAAGAACAGGGACATTTCCAGGGACATTTTTTTTAAATGGGACCCTCAGCAGACAGCTACCCTGGGAATTCAACATAGTGACCATTCTTTTGTTTAGATTCTTTACTGTAAGTAATTCCCAATGATCAATGACAAATGTAGGGTTAGATACAGCATTGCCATCTTATAACAGAAGGTAGTTACATTCCTCATTTCCAACACAAAACCCTAAAACAGTAAGCTCAGTTTCTCTGTAGAAGTAGACAGTCATGCAAATCATAATTTTTTTTACCCTTTTAGTCATCTGTGCATCCAGGACCACTGGTATATAGCACAAATATATATAAAACTAATTCTAATTAATTATAAACTAATATGAATGCAGAAAGCTGCTGTACTCGAAGTACAATCACCAACAGATATTAGGAAAAGTGCACAGCGTTACCGATTCAAGAAAGCAATCAGTGTACTAGAATTAATCCTTTTTAAAGTGCATATTGGATAAATAAATACTTTCTGATAAATTGATTGAGTGATTCAATCTCTACTAAAAGTACATCCAAAATATTTTAAAAATATATAATAAAGTGCAAACCCTTGAATGATTCTTAAAAAGTATATAACTTAAACCTAACAGGTTATAACATTCAATACATATATCTCCTAACAGGTGCAATAATACAGACAATAAAAGGGAAATATAAAAGTATCCAGTCTTAAAATCTCATATAAACAACAAGTGTTCAATTGATCTTCCACAAAGGCGATAAAAGAATCCACACAACGATAGTGTCTTAGTAAGATCCCAAGCCACGATCCCAAGTGATCCACAATACTCAGATTCAACGTATTCGAGGTGATAAATAATTGAAAGTGTCACTCTCCCTGTGCGAAAAATAAAGCTTTTTATCCACCCTCACCGGAACGATTTGACCTTCTACAACGAGATGGTCAAATCACACATGATGTAATAATGCACTAAGGCATAGTATTTTTCATCCTCTGGTTCCAGCACTTCTCCACACTCCGCAATGAGCTTGTTTTCTCAGCCTCCACTGACAATGCCATATGAGAAAAACAACAAATGCTCATCGTTAAATATAATATTCGCCAGATTCATTTAGAAAGATGAAATCCTACTCACATGATCTGCATTTAAAACTTGCCAGCAAATAATAAGGGGAATGATCCTTTAACAAATTCCTCAGAGTGCGCTCTCTACAAGAACATCTGGATCAGAATAGTCTCAGCAAGGCCCGTACTGACGCGTTTCATCATCCAGGACATTTTCAAAGGATGGCAGACCACCTCGGTAGCGCTATGCACTTTTCCTTATAGCACAGATATAGCTATAATTTTACATGGCCCGTATTACAAACTTGTGTACAGTTGTTTCAGGCTTCTTAACCCCCCCCCCCCCCCCAATGCAAGATATGACTTTACTGGATCTATACTTGTGAGTTCAGGGGAACAGTACAAATCTGTAAAGTTACAAATTAAATTCCAACACAAAAGAAAAGAATGGTGGTGGTCTATTACAAATGGGCATGTGTACAATTCTCTTAAAGCAGTGCAATTGTTGAAACATCCACCCTGCCCCCTAAAGTTAAAAGATTAAAATAAACCTGTTCTGGGATTTCATGGTGGTTAGTGACCACTAATGGCTGGTTCACACCACAAAGAGAGTGTTTTTCAGAGCATTTGGCCTCTGGAACGCAACCCGGCCGGCTCCCTGG